ATTTCTAGAAAAATACAACCTTCCAAAACTTAATCAGGAAGAATCTAAAAATCTCAATAGGCCAATAACTATGGAGGAAATCGAAGCAGTAATCAAAAAGCTTCCAGCAAACAAAAGCCTGGGGCCAGACGGCTTCACAGGGGAGTTTTACCAAACATTCAAGGAAGAACTAAAACTTATCCTCCTCAGACTATGTCAAAAGATCCAAGAGGAAGGAACACTTCCCAGCTCATTCTATGAAGCCAGCATCACCCTAATACCAAAACCAGATAAAGACAATACAATGAAAGAGAATTATAGGCCAATATCCCTCATTAACATAGATGCCAAAATCCTCAACAAAATCCTAGCAAATCGGATCCAGCAGTACATCAAAAAGATCATACACCATGACCAAGTAGGATTTATCCCAGGCATGCAAGGATGGTACAATATCCGCAAATCAATAAATGTGATACATCACATAAACAAATTGAGAGAAAAAAACCACATAGTCATATCAATTGATGCTGGAAAAGCATTTGACAAAATCCAACACCCTTTCTTGATAAAAACTCTCAGCAAGATAGGAATTGAGGGATCATACCTCAACATAATAAAAGAATATATGACAAACCCACAGCCAACATCATAATCAATGGGCAAAAACTAAAACCATTCCCCCTAAAAACAGGAACAAGACAGGGATGCCCCCTCTCACCACTCCTGTTTAACATAGTACTGGAAGTACTAGCCATTGCGATCAGACAAGAAGAAATAAAAGGCATCCAGATTGGAAAAGAAGAAGTAAAACTGTCCTTATTTGCAGATGACATGATACTGTACATAGAGAACCCTAAAGACTCCGTCAAAAAATTATTAGACTTAATAAATGAATTCGGCAATGTAGCAGGATACAAAATTAATGCTAAGAAATCCATGGCATTTCTTTACACCAATAGTGAACTTACAGAAAGTGAAACTAAAAAAGCAATCCCATTTACCATTGCACCAAAAAAATTAAGCTACCTAGGAATAAACTTAACTAAGGAGGTAAAAGACTTATACGCAAAAAACTACAGGACACTAAAAAAAGAGATAGAGGAAGACATAAACAGATGGAAGAACATACCGTGTTCTTGGATTGGTAGAATCAACATCATCAAAATGTCCATACTACCCAAAGCAATCTATAGATTCAATGCAATCCCCATTAAATTACCAACGGCATATTTCACAAATCTAGAACGAACGTTCCAAAAATTCATCTGGAATAAAAAAAAGACCCCGAATAGCTGCAGCAATCCTGAGAAAGAAGAACAAAGTAGGTGGGATCTCAATACCAGATATCAAACTGTATTACAAAGCCACTGTTCTTAAAACAGCTTGGTACTGGCACAAGAACAGACATATAGATCAATGGAATAGAATAGAGACCCCAGAAATCGACCCAAACGACTATGCCCAATTAATATTCGACAAAGGAGGCAAGAGCATACAATGGAGTCAAGACAGTCTCTTCAATAAATGGTGTTGGGAAAATTGGACAGATACATGCAAAAAGATGAAACTAGACCACCAACTCACATCATACACAAAAATAAACTCAAAATGGATAAAAGACTTAAACGTAAGATGGGAAACCATAAAAATACTAGAGGAATCCACAGGCAGCGAAATTGCAAACATATGCCGAAGGAATTTCTTCTCTGATAATGCTCCTAGGGCAATGGAAACTAAAGAGAAAATAAACAAATGGAACTACATCAAAATAAAAAGCTTTTGCACAGCAAAGGAAACTATCAACAAAACAACAAGAAGACCCACTACATGGGAGAACATATTTGCCAATGATACCACCAATAAGGGTTTAATTTCCAACATTTACAGGGATCTCACGAAACTTAACAAAACAATCCAATAAAAAAATGGGCAACGGACCTAGATAGACACTTTTCAAAAGAGGACATACAGAAGGCCGAAAGACATATGAAAACATGCTCAAAGTCACTAACTATACAAGAGATGCAAATCAAAACGACAATGCGTTATCATCTCACACCTGTCAGAATGGCTATCATCAACAAATCAACAAACAACAAATGTTGGAGAGGATGTGGAGAAAAAGGAACCCTTCTGCACTGCTGGTGGGAATGCAGACTGGTGCAGCCACTGTAGAGAACAGTATGGAGCTACCTCAAAAAACTAAAATTGGAACTCCCATTTGACCCAGTGATCCCACTACTAGGAATATATCCCAAGAAACCAGAAACGCCAATCAGAAAGGATATATGCACCCCTATGTTCATAGCAGCACAATTTACCATAGCTAAGATTTGGAAACAGCCTAAGTGCCCATCAGCAGATGAGTGGATTAGAAAACTGTGGTACATCTACACAATGGAATACTATGCTGCAGTAAAAAAAAAAGGAACTCTTGCCTTTTGCAACAGCATGGATGGAACTGGATAGCATTATGCTAAGTGAAATAAGCCAGTCAGAGAAAGATAAATACCACATGATCTCACTCATTTGTGGATTATAGAGAACAACATAGACTGATGAAAAGGGACAGATCCAAAGACTGAGAAACAGCGATCAGGCTATCAATCCCCATTAGGAAAGTAGGGGAGGGCAGGGTTAAGGGGAAGAGATCAACCGAAGGACTTGTATACATGTATATAAGCCAAACCAATGGACATGGACAACAGGGGGATGGGAGCACGAGTGTGCGGGGCGGGGGGGAGGGGAGAGGTTGAGGGTTAATGGGGGGGATGAGGATACATTTGTAATACCTTAACTAATAAAAAAAAGATAGAAAAAAATATGTAAAATTTTCAAGAAACATTCAAAAAAAATATATCATTAATAGTAATCTTGTTGTAGAGGACAATTTGAGATTTTCTTAGATATTAGATCAGCTGGACTTTTCCCATAACATCCCAAAATTGGGTTAGGGTTGATTTCAGGAGTTTTTACTAGTGGATGCTGACCTCAAATTGCCAATTGCCTGTTCTAAGGCCCCATCTTCCTCACCTGAATTACACCAAAGTCCTTCACACTAGTAATGGTCTTCCCATTATTTGGTCTTCTCCTTGCATTCACAAAATTCATCTTCCACCAACTCCAATTTGATCACTAAATCCCATGATTAAAAAAACCTTTATAGCTCTCTGGCCTTGTGTAAGAGCATATTGAAGGTGTTGGGTTTTAGGACAAAAGAGAGATGATATAAACTCTACAGTAGTGCTTCTCAAAGTTAAACATGTTTCAGAAGGACTTGGAGAGCTTGTTAAAATACAGATTCCTGGGCCGTACCTATAGAGGTTCAGATCTAGTAGATCTGAGGCAGAATAAGAAGGTACATTTCTAACAAGCTCCCAGCATCAGGGAAGGTGCTGGTCTGTGGACCACACTTGGAGAAGCTCTACTTCCATCTTCTTTACTTTACACGCTCAGCTTCCTCTTAAGTTTTCATTCAAACAAAGGGTTTATTTAATAACAGACACCCAGTCACCTACTCTAATGCTCTGTCTGGGTCTACAAATAAGAAAACTGACACCTGGAGAACCAGGTCACCTGGTTAGTGGAAGACTGTTCTGTCCATTCTTCTTCAAACCTTCAATCTCACATTAAAGGCTCCCACTATATTTCTACTTTTCTCTCTTCTTCTCTATATCACCAATCTCTCAGTTCTGTGTTAGCTGGCTCATTTATCCTTCCCCAAACAAAACAGAATCATTTTCTTTTTTACTTCAAGTCTTTCCTACCACCATTCTTTCTGCCTCCCCCTCTTCTCAAAAATATCTACTGTAATGATATTCCCAACACTTCGAATTGAACTCATTAACTTTTTTGACCCTAATATCTACTCTACTTCAGGAACTCACATGCATGGATGGCACATCTTGGACCTCAACATCAACCAGAATTGGGCCACCTCCAAGATTCTTGACTCCCAATAACGGATTATCTTGACAATAGCCTCCTAGGTTTTATGACTCCTTGCCTGCTGTCCATTCTTGCTTCCTCCTAGGCAACCAAGGTAATCCTTCCTTGAGCTATACTTACCACCCTACCCAGACTGGATGACGCTTCACCTGCATCCTCACCAGGGTTCTAGAGTGCCTGCCTCGACTTTCTGCCAAGTCTGTCTTGCCAATCTCCTTCACAGAATTAATCTAAAAAATTGTTTTTTTCTATTCCTAGTCCTCTAAGCATTGTTGGTTATGGTCACATTACTATGTTGATGGAACCTTACTAATACCCTCAGCTAGATTTTCTTGCCTCAAGCAGACAATTTCTTCACCCCCAAATGACTCTTCCTCAAGCTTCCAAAGATATTCCTCAACATTTCCATAATCTTGAACCCCCAAGTCTGCTCCAATACCTCCCATTCCCATTGTCGCTAAAGCAAAACAGAAGATGGAAGCCCAAGTCTGGGGCAAGACTGAAGAGGGTTTATTAGCATGCCACACTGTGTCTTGTGGGCACTGAGAGGCCATTCAAAGTTTTACTTTAGAAAGATCACTCTGGTGGTCATGTGGAGGATGAATTAGAACAGGGTAGAAGCAGATAAATGAGGGATTCAGCAAATACACAAAGAGGCCATGGAAGAATAAAGAAATAAGAATGACTAAACACAGTACTTTCATATAGTAAGTACACTACAGGCATGCATTAAGCTAATTTATTCTGTCTCTGATTCTGAGGAAAATATATATAGAAAAACATTTACTGAACTTAAAAAATGTATAATTGAGACCAAGAATAGTTTTGCTATGCCTTGTCATAAGGCAAATGAAAGCTATTGTGCAATGGACAGATGGTGCAATGAGATGTAAAATGAAATTAGCAATGATGAAACCCACATGGAAATGAGGGGAAGGTCGATATGTTAAAAGTCAAAGGAATTTGGCTCCATCTTGTCTCGCTTCATAAAAGACTGAGGTCATAGTTTAGTGGCTTTTATTGCAGAAAGTTGCAAGACTATCCATTGTGCCAAAGAACCAAATACTCACCCAGGGTTGTTCAAAGCTATAAGTGCGTCGCCGATCTTCTACATCTTCATCCTGCTTTGCTTGCTGGAACTCCTGTCGTAGACGCTGTATCCGATCATGGTTGCTAGTAGTTGACCTGTTGCTAAAAGAGAGAATGGGCAACAATGAAAACCCTTCACAAATACAATCTGTGCCTTGCAGTTACTAGGAAAAAAGGGCATCTTGCTGACAGATGACACTATTTAAGAGGAAGTGAATTTTAAAAACAGTATCTGGGCATTTGAAATATGTTTTCATTTTGATTAAGACTTATTGAAGTTATTTCAGACAAATATTCAAGAGGGAGAATAGTATTTTTAGACATTCCTTTTTCACAGGAATGTAAAACCTCATTTCCTTTCTGTAATCTGGCAAGGTGTCCACAGAAAAACTTTTTGGAGAAAATATTGCTTTAAAAGTCAGAAATATAAGGGTCCAGTCCTAGCCCCTCCACCTTCTTAGACTAAGGCACTTAATGCCTCCAAGTTTCAGTTTCTTTAAATATATGAAGTGAACATAATAATCATTTTTTGCTCTAAATATCATGCTGTTAACAATCAAGTGAGATAATACCATACAATATAGTCTTACAGTATTATTTCATAATGCCATTATATAAAGTTCCTACTTATGCGGTATCAGAGGTCTATGCACAAAATGCAACTCTCAGAGCATAAATGAAAAGCATTTTAAAAAATAACTTCAGGTGCTAGCTTGATGTAATCAGTTAGTTCATAATGATGTTGCCTTCTTTTTTATAGCAATGAATTTGACTTTATTCTCACAAATGCTTATAACATAGGCTCAGAAGGCAGTATTACACCCCTACACATACACACATACCAATGTAGAAACTGTCATTCAAAGAAGACAGGTGACTTTTTAGAAGCCTCCCAGCTGCCCAGTATTGAAAGTAAGACAAGAATCCAGATTTTTCTGGATTCCAGAGTCCAGTCCCCATCCTACTATACCACGTGTCACTTAGAAAAACACATTGTATTCCAAAACCCCTCCTTTACAAAGTCATACAAATTTTAAAAACAGTATTTTGAAAGAGTAATAGAGATGACCAAAAGTAAATCAATCTTACACCTCCTGCCACTTTTGGTTTATTCCATTCCCTGAGCACTATGTTGCATCCTACCAGAAAAGCTATTCAAGTACACTGGGAATATACTGTCTCCCCAACAAGACTTCAGACCTGTTAAGGATAAGGACCAAGTCTTATATTTATCACATTTACCCTTCAAACTGCTAGCAGAATGGTAAGCGGTAAGTTATTAGGAAGATGAAGTCTCTTCACTGAAAACAGGTTGCCCTGGATACTCAGTGTGTTACTGAGTTCCTTTGGCTGCACACACTCCTGAGTGATGAAATTTATGAGGTAGCTTGGAAAAATAAAAGTCTGTTATGGTAGAGTACATACAATTCTCAAACCAACATGTCTTTGTATAATTCCACATATTTTGAAGAACTGCAAAGGCTTAAAAATCTGAAATTGAAAATGTTCATGTATAGGACCAAAGTATTAACATCTCCCATGAATACAAGATAGTCTGTCACCATTTAATCTACTGGGTTGATCCTTATCACCTTTATGTTTTCATCAATTTCATTAGAGCTTCTGGAATATCTTGCTAATATATTCAATTTGGTTATTTTCCCAGTCAATAAAAGGTTGTTTTTCTTCTGACAAACCTTTTGAATTGATTAGCCTGAGAGCATTAAAGGTGAGTAGGTCTGTAAAATGTGCTACTTGACAACATGAGGCTTCAGCCCATATTTATGTACAGCTTTAAAACTTGACCTAAACACTCTTGAGCCAGGCAGATTACTTTTCCTATTGGCTTTCAGAACATTTGTTTGAACAGAAAAATTCTCAGTACTGTCTTCCCAATGTGATGCCCAGTTTCTCTCTGTGAAACTGTGATGGTGTAGGCATGAGAATCATTACACTCACAGACAAAGAGATAGAAAAGTGAACATTCATTAATCTCATTGCCATCTTTCCAGCTGTACCTTTTTCTGTTCTTGGCATACTTCATAGCTTTCATAGGATAATTGTAGGAGGCTTGACCGACAAATATAACTAGAAATATTTCTCTATCATTTTCATGTAGCACAGATAGCTTTAATCCAATAATTATTAGGTTCATGAAGTCCACGTCATTGATGAAAATCAACTTCTAACTATTTGCAAATAATTGAAAGTGTATCTCCCAACAGGAATTGACCCAGTATTCTTCATTTGAAATTCTGGCAACTTCAGTGTTTTTCATAGTATTAGATGAGTTCTGGAAGTCACTTCACCCTTATTTCCGAATCTGAGCAGCTGGTGAGACCATTGTTGCACATTCTTTTCCTTTTCTCCTATGCCCTAGAGAATGCCAACCAACTTGCCTAACACTAGGAAAGCCCCTCTAAGGGTTGAAATTAGAAAGCAGGCTGCAATGGTTTTCATGATTGATGAGGACTTCCAAAGGCTGGAAGGCCATTCAGCATCCTTGGGGAATAACATTGGCATCTGAAGGTAAAATCCTGGCTTCAAGCGATGAAACTATTGCAGCTGCTCAGTTCTGTTTCTCAGCCTCATCTATAATGAGTCAATAATTCATACTTAGACTTCTAATGTTCTTGGTTAGCTCTTCTGCCAAGAAAGCCAAAGGAAATTTTAAATTTTCATTAGCACTGATGGCTACCCAACCCAAACTTATATTTGGGTTCATTGACAACTTAAAGTTGCTCATTATATTTTTGAGAAGAGTAGAATAAATATACCACCTGAGTCAATCTGATGGGCGAGTGAGACAATAAAACTCAATGAGGAGTCAATACATCATCTATATATATAAAAGCCTAATATGCAAATTGTCCACTCGGGAGTTCGACTGGGAGACAGGAGTTTGATCGCTCCTTATGACATGCGCTGACCACGAGGGGGCAGCACAGAACGAAGGAAGGCCCCAGCTGGCAGCTGGCAGCAGGGGAAGGGAGGCCCCGGCCGGCAGCCGTAAGGCCTCAATTGGCCCTGATCCCAGGCTGGGCCTAGGGACCTACCTGTGTACGAATTTCATGCACCAGGCCTCTAGTAATTTAATAATAGTTAACAGAAAGGAGGGGTGAGGACAGTAAGACAGTAGTAGAGTCCAATACTAACAGCTTCCCCTTATAATTGGTACTTATAGCCCAACTAAAACTTAATTTTACACACACACACACACACACACACACACACACATGTCCCAAAAATGCATACATACTTTAACAGGTGATAGCTCAATTTTGAAAATAAAATGTCTTTTAATTAACACTGCTTTTATAATTATTCAAAATGTGTGTATGTATTTTTTGGGACACCCTATATGTTAGCTAAATAAAGAGGGTTAGTTTTGGTTCGGAACAGTCTGAGTTAAGAAAGGATACACTGGATCACACACTCTGGAGATTCCTAACCTGGCATGCATGTCAACACCCTGAAATATATGGAACTCTAAGTTTTCCCATCTATAATTATCATGGGATGTGTCCTCTCCAGTCAGAGGCAGCCCACACAGTGTACTAGGCTTTAGAACCTTCAGATTTGCCTACTGCAATGTGCTTCACAAAAGGGGCTGAACGTACCAATTCCTGCTAACTGCAGCCATGGTACCTGTCCTGTATCTGTGCTCCACAGATGGCAATCCAACCGTCTCCTTAGGAAGAGTGAATGGGAAAAATTTTATGGCAGTGGTCCTCACATACGCACATTACATGAGAGCCGTCCCGAGTGCTTGTTAAAAAATGCTGACTGACTGAGATTGCCCTGGATATTTTCTGACTCAGTAAGTCCTGTGCAGGGCCCAGGAATCTGCTTATGTTCAAAAGCACTGCAGGTGCTATGCGGTGAATACTTTGAAAACAATGCCCACAGTCTTCATAGTCGGGACAAATTCCAATGCTTGCGGGTCATTAACTAAAGAGTGAAGGAGACCCCACTGGAAGCACCAACGTGTATTCTGTGACAAATTTGAGTAATATGCTTGGTCTAGAGGGGAGGCTCTTACTTGGTTCTAGTAAGTTGCTGCCCTGAAGGGATATAGGTCTGGTGATGGCTCCTAATTTTTTTTTAAAAAGTCAGAACTACAATTTTCGCCCCAAATTTTAAATGTTGGCTTTTTTTAAGATCCTAGATAAGCCCCCTCCCCAAAAATGTCTGTTGTGTACTATCTTGCAACTTCTGCTTTATATTCTGCAGCTGCTGCTGACTTTATAGTTGCTTTTCTAGGCTATTTACTTTTACTGCATCAAGACAAGGCCAGTGGTCCCCTAGTCACAGTCCCAAAAAACAAATGTTAAAACAATGGGCATTGTGCGTATAGTCTTGTCTCTTATAAAGTGTCTGCTCCCTCTGATCTGTCAAACCCTGATTACACTGACTGCCCTGCAGGCTTGAGTTCTGGCCTATCTTTTCAGACCTGTATGTGCTGAGAGAGGAGTTTGTGATGTGACTAATTCTTTATGGAGTAAAAGTACTTTCAAATTTACATTTTTAATTAGGGAAAGGAAATCTGAAAAATTGAACTAGAGGGCACAGCTTTAAGATCCAGAATTCAATGGAAGGGAAAACAGCCACTCATTTTTTTAAAAGAGAGGTACCATCTTAGTATACACTCTCCTTCCCATGGAAGAAAAAAAGGGGGAGGGTAACAGAAGGAGGTAATGAATCTTGGCAGGCTTTCGAGGGTGCTCATAGGGGGAGATAATTATAATCTCTACCGTAAGAGAAGAGAAATTACCAAAGAAAAGGGTAAGATAAATCTGTTCATATCTTTCTGTAATAACCTCTCCTTTTCTTTCCATTTTTACAATTCTACTAGTAAATCTAAGATATCAAATTCCACTTCCTTAAAGCCTTTCCTAAGGCTTCCTTCCTGTTCTTTTCCATTCGTCAATAATACTAGTAAGTGTCCTCTGACCCAAATACTGTTTAACAGTTTTATAGAACTTACATGTATGTTTCTCTTTCTTAAATTTTTATACCTTTATCACAACCACTTAACATGTATATATTTTGTATGTCGCATCCCTGTGGCAGGGAAAATTGTTCAGCAAATATTTGTGATG